ACTAGTGTTTATGTTGGCTGTTGTGTGGTGCTCGCCCGCGTTACTCTCATTCTTGCCGATTTTTATGGAATGGTACACGACGTCCGAGCATTTAGCATTCCGGAGGAAAAACCCACATATTTGCTCTTTCACGGTAAATCGAACGTATTCGGTTATATCGTCGAGTGTGAGTTTTTGGGTGCCGGGTATGGTGATGATCTTCATGTACTACAGGATATACGTTGAGGCCGATCGACAGGAAAGAATGTTGTACAGGTGAGTTTCGTTTTATCTATGTTTTATTGTGATCAACGCCGTTATTGATCCATTTATGTGAATTACCGCGATATTTTTACCGAGAGGAAAATTGCTTTCTTAGAAATTGCTTTAGATATTTCAGACAATTTTATTTTTAATACGTTTACATTCAAATAAATAAAAAAAATCGTCCATATACAGAATTGTGAAAAGCAGAAAAATTATGAATATCTATACTTTTATATCTTAATTTTGTATAAAAATTTATAAAAAATACTGTATTAAAAAAACTGCTCTCGTAATATTTGAAATTTTATATCAAATATTAAATAGGAATTATCTCTATATCGCGTCGTACCACGATCCCATCTCTAATTCATTATTTTAAATCTTAATCCCATCGTTTGAAGAAATAAGCAATATTGGTACGAGTAGTCACCCAAATTGCATCCCCGAACATCGACATGTATAATTATATAACGACCTCAAGGCGCGTACACATTTGACGAACGCATGTGGCCGAAAACTTTATAAGGGGTAAATTTATACTCCCCAACAAGAGATAGCAAACGGATGTGTTAGCCTTTGCTAAATTTCGCTCACTGGGCGGTACATCAAAGAAAATTGAAGAACAAATTCGTTTGGGTGTGTTTAGTGTGTACGCTTCCGAGTAAAAGTGTCGAACATCGTCCCGATTTGGTTTTGAGTTTTTAATTTACAATAATAAAGTGGACTAATTCTTCTTGTTTATAACAAATTGTATCCAGTGCATAAAACTTGCATATAAGTCACCAGTAGCTAAATATAGTAGGGTTAACATTAACCTTTCTATTGGCGGCATCGTTTGTCTAAACTTTGTATCTTTTTTCGCGATTTTTGGACCAATTTTATTTAATAACCATTCAAAATCAGTAGACTTCATTCTACAACAATTTTGAAAAAGCATGTATTTCATTTCAGCTTTTAGATAATTAAATAAGTCTTCTGCTTCTGATAATAAGGTTTTTGTTTTTGAACTATGATGTTGTTCACCAGCGCCGTCCACAGCGCACTATAAACGCAATATGTACGTTTACAACTTTGGCTGTCACGAACTATTAACTGGTTTAGGCTTCATGTATGAGTGAGATGAGACACTTGACTTTCGAGGTTTGCAGGAAATCGCATCGTGTATAGTTAAGCACATTGAAACACGCGCATCGCACTTTAAGCATATTATTGCCTACAGTGATACTTGCATCCGAGAAAATGGGAACTGAAACGTTGCCTTATCCTTATTAAAGATAGTACTTAGTGAGACCAATCAGGCGGAGACAATTGATCTAAAGTTTATGGTGAGTGGTCATTCCTACCTACCTAACGATGCAGACTTTGGATCAATAGAAACTTACTCCAGAGTAACGGCAATTTATGTCCCAAACGATTGTTATTGTATCATAATGAAGTAATAAAGATATAAATAGTTCCACTTTACACAGATGGTCAGCGAAGATCTTAAAAGTGCCTGCAATCTCAAAAAAGCAATTACACAAAGAAAAGTGAATTGCGAGTGAACCAGTATGGTAGTTAAGAATACAGTGGCTTAGGTGCAAGCGAGACGAACCATTTAAGCTATTTTATAAAGAAACGCTAAATGAAGAATCAGACTTTTTAAGCATCAACATTCTGCCAGGCGCACAGAAAGGAAGGCCAAGATTATTGAAAAACATTCTACAACACCGACTTCATAACAGTCCTCGGTTTGTAATCAGTGACTATTACAAAAAAACGGGATATGTCTGACTTGTTGCCATTTATCCCACCTGTGCGTTATAGTTGTTTCAATAATCTTGTTACATCTGATTCTCTTGGACGCGTTGATGATTCAGGACCACTCACAGATGACGAGTTTCCAGCGATTAACGAACCTGGGACATAAAACCTGCAATGTTGTTTGTACACGATGTTGATTTGATTTTCTGTAGCTTTCTCTGTCCAATAAACTTTTGATGAAATAATGATGTAAGTCATTTCAACCCTTGTTCTAAGTCTCCCCTTATAAATTAGTTCAATATACCTCTATCAAGAGTTTCGAATACGCATTACTGACAAAGGTAAGGGATAATTAATATGATTTGTTTGTCGTGGATTTAATGATAGTGATCTTAGTAAAAGCTTATGTTTCTCAAAATGAAGTTAAACTGACATACACCACTGATATTTTAACCGCCTCAAATATAAGATGTTCCCCCAGAAAAAATCTAGCTTATGACAAAACTTAATAAAAAAATGAGAAAAAAAACTTAAATTTAAAGAAAAAAATTTATCTTCTTCTTTTTAACATGCATACACCAAAGTGCGTAGGCGACTATCTCATTACTAGAATTCTGTTCTTGGCGGCATGGCACAGCTCACCTGTATTGTGTATTCCTGTTCATTCTTTAATATTCCTTAACCAAGATAATTGTTTGCGGCCGGCTCCTTTCCTACCTTCGATCTTCCCTTGTATTTTATATTTTGCTCATCTCAGTATGTGCCCAAGGTAACCAATCTTGCATTTTTAATTAATTCAAAGAGTTCTCTTTCCACGCCGGCTCTCTTAAGGGCGTCATCGTTTCGAACTCTATTCACCCAAGGTATGCGCATCATTCTTCTCAATGACCACATTTCAAATGCTTCAAGTTTGTTGACAGATGTTTTTTCAAAGTCCACGTTTCCATGCCATAAAGCAAGATGGACCATATGTAGCACTTGACCATTCTGTAGCGTATTTCGAAATTTAGGTTTTGATTACATAGGAACGGTCTGAATTTGAGAAAAGCTTGTCTTGCCAATTGTATTCGGGTTTTTATCCCGTGTTGTGGATCGGATTGGTCATTGATTGTGGTGCCAAGGTATTTAAAAGTTTTCACGCGTTTTATACGATCGTCATCTATGCATATTATTGGGTTTTCTGGAGGGTTTCTGCTAATGACCATATATTTCGTTTCCAAAATGTTGATTTTGAGGCCATATTTTTTACCTATGCTATTTACCCTATCAAGTAATAACTGCTGATCTTCCAAATTATCAGTTATAATCACTGTCTCGTCCGCATAGCGTAGATTGCTAATTGGTATGCCGTTCCCTTAATACCTAATTCCGTGCCTTCTAATGCTTCCGCAAATATATTTTCAACATATAAATTAAAGAGCATCGGAGAGAGTAGCAGCCTTGCCGGACACCTTTTCGGATTTCAAATTCATCCGTATATTGGTCTTGATCAATCCTCACCTTTGCCATTTGGTTCCAGTATAGATTCTGAATAATTCCGATCTCCTTCTGGTCAATGTTGGCCCTAGTAGTTCCATCATGATACTAGGTTTAACATTGTCAAATGCCTTCTCGTAGTCGATGAAGGTGAAGTAGACATATTTTCGTTGATCTTAGCAGTTTTGTATTAAGGTGTTCATACATAAAATTGCCTCTCTTGTTCCTAGTCCTCCCTTAAAACCGAGTTGTGTTGACCCGCTAAGTTCTTCTAGTATCTTGTACATTCTTGAGTGTAATATCCTAAGGAAGAGTTTCAGCAAGTGACTCATTAAACTGATTAAGCGGTGTTCATTGCATTTTGTGGCATTAGCTGTTTTTGGGATCATCACAAAGGATGACTGCGGCCATTCTCGCGGAATGTAACCAGTATCATAAATTCTATTGAACAGCTTTACCAAGATTTCGATATTCTCCTCGTCTAGTAGTTTTATTGCTTTTAAATTAATTTCATCTGGACCTGTTGCTTTATGCATATTTGTGGTTCTAACTGCAAATTATATTTCACTTCGCATTATTGATGGCCCTGATAAGTTTTCGGAAGCAAGTTTGCGCGTTGGTTGTGTTTCTTTCTGCGTATTCTTTCCTCACCATTGCTATCTCCTCTTCTGAATCTATATATTCGTTTCTGTCGTTGCGGATTCTTGTTCTGTGGTAGCTTTTGTGTATATTCGATATTTCTTTGATCTTTTAATGTTGTCCAAAACTATCTACTTGTTTATGCAATTGTTCTATTTTGTTGCACCTTTCCACCATCTAACGTTCTTTTGCTTTCTTAATTTTCTGCCGAATTTCTTTGTGTATCTGTTTGCATTTGTTTTGATTACGTTGTTGTTTATGTTGCCTTCGCTTTTCCATTAGATCCATAATTTCGTCCGTCATCCATTCGTTATGCTTTCTCTTTCTGATCTGTGTTTTAACTTTCCTGTTTACTGCCAGAATCGTTCCTTTAATATCATTGACCATCTCTTCGATATTATCATTTTGTTCTATTGCTCGCATTCTTTCATTAATTTGATTCGCATAACTCTTTTTCAGATTTTCGTCTCTCATCAGTTCTCTTGTATTTATAGGCGTGCTGGTGTTTGTATTTGTTCTCTTATGTTCTCTGATCTTCATTCTGCTAGTTTTAACCTCACATCTGCTATTAGCGGATTATGATGCAATATCAGCACCTGGATATGCTGTGATTCTTTTGATAGCGTTACGAAATCTTCTGTTTATTAAAACGTAGTCAATTTGGTTTCTAATTATTCGATTTGGACGGTCTCCTGGTTATCTCCAAGTATATACCTAACTACTTTTTATAAATAAAAAATTAATAAAAAAAATTAAAAGGTTATACAAAGAGTATACAATTTAGTAAAGTAAACGGACGATTTTTTTACGTCGGCGACCGTTATTATTACCTAAATAAGCACGATACACTTATTTAGCTGTTTATAAACATTCACGTTAATTGTATGGTCGGAGACCTTGGTTTCCGAAATCCGTACGTAACAAGCTCGTTAAAGTATATCAGAAAACACAGTGTTGTTGATTCGACCGTGTAGAGTGTAAGGTAAGAATTTGTAATTGTGATTATTTTTCTACTTTGACTTTTGTACAATTATATAGGAATAATTTCGCAATATTTTTAAAGGGTATTACATAACAATTACAAACAAATTAATTAATCAAATGTTTATTATCGTTTCGACTATTTACCTGGAAGCCTTATCTAAGACAAACAATAATCTGTTTATACCGATTTCAAAAAAATGTTTTACCGGCAAATTTAAAAGAATGGAGTTAAATTTTATAAAGTGAACGGAATACAGATCTGATAATTGTATTGCGTAAATTGGACTGTCATAAAGTTATTACCTACTACAATTAGACCAGAGTAATACGGCAAAGGTGTACCCTGTTCGTGACATTTAAAAAGCCAGGGCACGGAAAGGTTTTCTTGATGTATAATACTTATTTTAACAAACAAACATATTTTAACTATTTCCTACTTGAAATTTGTTAATTTTTATTTATTGTAACAATTTTCTTTTGAAAAAATGACTTTTTGGCGTATTTATTTTATCATTAATAGTTATTTATGTACCAAGGGTATTAAATAGAGTGGTTTGTAAGGCGCCCTTGGGCATATAGATCTATTAATACCCGTGGTGCATACAAACTTTTATATCATACTAGTTCGTTATTGCATCTACAAATAAATATGTTCTAAAAAATCCGAAAATTCGATTTCATTTTGACAACACATTTCCTAGTAGACATTCTATCGTCCGTGTTATGTTGCTACGCTACGAAAATGCTGTCAAACGTGTCAAACTAACAACCTGAAAATGCAAGATATTTTTGAGATCTTCTTCTTCTTGTGGTGCCTATCCGTTACGGCTACTAGCATGACTTTATTGACCGCAGCTCGAAATACTCCTGAACTGGTCAAAGAAAACCATTTTCGTAAGTTCTGGAGCCAAGATATTCTTCGTCTTCCTTGTCCTCTCTTTCCGCAGACCTTTTCCTGTAATATAAGTGGCAGCAGGATATATCTATGATCGTTTTGCATTATATGTCCAAGATATTCTAGCTTGCGATGTGTCACTGTGGATATAATTTCACCTGTTTTATCCATTCGACGTAGAACCTCAATGTTTGCTATTCGGTCCACCCAGAAGATCCTCGGTATCCGCCTATAACATCACATCTCAAACGCCTTGAGTTTTCCCATGGATGCCTCGGTTAGTGTCCATGATTCAACCCCATCGAGCAGCACTGTAAACACGTAGCATATCAATAAACGGATTATTGTTTTTAAGGGGAGGTCATGGCTCTTAAATATCTTGCCCATTCTGACAAATGCTGACCTGGCTTTTTCAATTCTTTGTGTTATCTCAACGGAGTGGTCCTATTGGTCGTTTATGGTGGTTCCTAAATAGTAGAATGGGACACTTAGAGTATTTTTTGCTGATCTACCAGTAATTCACTAGGTGGAATATGTTTCTTACTGATGACCATGTACTTTGTTTTCTTTATGTTAAAATCAAGCCCGTATTCTTGACTAATTCTCCACAATTACGTTACTAGTCTCTGTAAACCTTCTAAACTGTCTGCAAAGTCCTGCATCAGATATGTCCGCATATCTCATGTTATTCAGGCGTTCACCATTTATGAAAATACCCTTTTCGATATGCTCTAAGGTCTGACTCATGACGTGTTCCGAATAGACGTTAAATAATAGGGGAGATAGTATGCAGCCCTGTTATACTCCTCTCTTCATTGCAACTTCCTCTGTTCTTTCTCTGGTCTTTTACCCGAATGGTTGCTGATTAGTTGTAGTTTATGTTCTTGATTACTCGAATATCTTTGTTATCCAGGTCAGTTGCCTTTAGTATATCCATGAACTTATCGTGCTTAATTATGTCGAAAAGTTTCTGGTAGTCAATTAAGCATACATAAATATCGCAGTTGACCTCTCTGCACCTTTGAAATAATACCTGAACTGCGAACAAGACTTCTCTTATACCTAACGCATCCCTGAATCCGAACTGCGTTCGTGAAATCTGTGACTCGCATTTCTAATACACTTTTCTGTGTATTATCTTTAAGAAGGTCCTAAGAATGTGGCTCATTAGACTCATAATACGATGCTTCTCGCATTTTTTGCATTAGGTTTTTTAGGTATAGCAATAAATGTAGATTTTAACCAGCTCTCTGGGATTTTTTCCCGAGTCATAGATTTTATTGGACGTTGTTGTAAGCCATTTTACTCCTTCGTCTCCCATGATTTTTAGAAATTCTGAATGAAAGTTGTCGGGCCCTGGTGCCCTACCTGCTTTGGTTGCTTTAATTGCGGCTCTAACTAAGTGAGTGGTAATCCGGTGTCTTATTCCATAATTATCTGGTTGTTATCTCTGTCGTCATCGAATGTCTTCTCAACGTATCTCTTCCATATATTCTTTGTTTGTTCAATATCTATTACCGGGTAGCCATGATCATCAGTCATACAAATCTCTTGGGTTTGTATATTCCTGCTGCTTTTTTTACTTTCTTGTGGAGATTAAACGAGTCGTACCTACTTTCCAATGATTTTATGTCTCTGCATTGATCTTCCAATCATTTGTTTTTGGTTTCTCTAATAGTTTTTCTTATTTCTTTGTTAATTCGTTCATACTCCCACATATCTCTGTTTTTAGTTTATTTTCTATTCTCCTTCATATTTAGGATTTTATCAGTAATCCGCTCTTTCTTTTTAACCGTTGTTGGGAAAAAATATTTATTTAGGATTGTCTAGTTAATTTATTGTAGATTTGCCATTTCGTTATCTGGTTCATTAGCTATATTTTTTAATTCTTTTTCTATATAGGTTTGTATCTGGTGCCTGGTGTCATCATTTTTTAATGGTCCTAAATCGTATTTCCTTGCTTTTGCACTCTCTATCTTCTTCAGCTTTAGTCTACCAGTGGGTTATGGTCCGACCCAATATAAGCACCAGGATATGTTTTGACTGATGTTATTGAGATCTCTAGTCAAAGCAAAAGTTACTACCACAGAAGTTGAGAGATGTTTAGAACAGGGAATATGAAAAATTAAGTTTATTAAAAATTATTCAATAATTTTTTAGAAAAGTAGTCGGAACGGACAAAAATGCATCAGGAGAAGTTTCAATCCTTGTAATATTCAGAAAGTGGAGTACAAAAGCTGCATCTTGTACAAATGTACCTACATTATTTGAAAATAAAATTATTATTCTTATTCTAGTCTAGGTAAATAATGTTGACTAAGAAAAATACTTCTTAATTAAATATTTACAATAAATAAATCCTTTGACAAACTATCGATAAAGATTTCAAATCAAAAATTGAAACTCATTCATTAATCAGAATACCTAGTTATTTTATTTTCAACGTCAACTGATCGCCCGACTGTCCACCGTCCCGAAAGAGAGAGCCATTGTCTCTCCTGCTGCAGACCAGAATGTTGTTTCGCCTATTTTTTAAATAATTTTAAACTGTTTGTCCTTGTTTAGTGTAGTGTTATGTACAATTTTATGTTTATAACATTCTGGATATTGGATAGTTGGATAGCCCAAAATTGACAAAATGCCCCTAAAGATGCACTAGGAAGCGAAAGTACTTGGGCAAGATTTAATTAATAAATCTGTGCTCGATATCTGCCTTTCATTTTATTAAAGTTTTATATATATATATATATATATATATATATATATATATATATATATACAGAAATACACTTATTGTTTCTAGATAGTTAGTGATATTTTAATAGTTGAAAAGAAAAATAATGAACTAAATCTAAATATATTTCAACATATTAAACAAACTGATAAAAATAATAGAAATGACCATGAGAAACTGATAACTAATAATTAATATAGGAAAATCCTTATGAACGACATTATTGATTAGAGTATTTGATAAGATATTAAAAATAGGTTCATCGTTCGTAAACCACACTCGCCAAAAAACTTTTTTGTTAATACATACCTTTCGATTTAAAAACTTGTTCTCTACAGATGGCCAGCTGGCAGACCTAAGGTATGCCATGTAAATTATTTTGTCAATTGTTTTATTAAGACCGAAGTGACAGCGCCCCAAATACGTATTAGTAATTGCTTCAAATTATAAAGAAACAGTAAAACAAATTTTAAAAATGTATTTGGTAATTATAATGGTAAGTGCTGCAAATATAATTCAGGCTGGTCTTGTACAAGCTAATGTTGCACATCAGTTTGACGTGTTTCAGAGTGTAATTTTGCGATCATCGAAATAGGCATAATACTGCACACGAACTTTTGTGTTATTCATAGATGAAGCTAGCTTTTGTCTCTACCCTGATTACAGAACAGTGTGAGCTTTGAGAGGATATGATCGACAAGAGAGATTCAGGCATGGACAGGGTGATCGTCTATATATTGGACTACAAGGTATGATGTGGGCTGAAATAATTTTTCATCAAACTGTTCCCGTTTTTGTAGAAGGCATTTTGAATCAATCTCAATATATTGATCGTATCTGAAATGTTCTCATATTGGTCACTGCTGCAGGTTATGATTTGCCTTATAAGCAGGATAATATCAGTACATATACTGTAGCAATAGTAAGATATTGGTTTCGTCATAAGGAAATTCCATTTTCATTGTCCTGATTGGGTGATTGTCGTGGCCACACTTTCACCATGGCCAGGAACAATCTCCAGATCATAGTCCAATTGAGCATTTATGGATTATGTCTCAAAGACAGATTGCTCCTTATCTGCACAATATTTATACTAAATAACATATTCTTAAATATAAATTGATCCTATTGCCAAAAATCGAAATTGATAATTTAATTTTAACCATGCCAAGGAAGTGTCAAACTGTTTATAATGATGCTAAAGAGAACACACATCATTAAACACATTTAGTAAACTTCCTCACTTGTCTTTGATTATTTCATCATAAAGAAATCATTGTATACTAATATTAAGCTGAGCTTATTGAACACTCATCAGGCACTTTAACGCTATGATAAAGTAGCACGGCAGTACCACGCACGGACTGAAACTTTTCAGCACGGACTAAAACTTGCGGCAGAAAAAACCGAAGCCATCATTCTGAAGGAAAAAAGGAACTGGAAAAGTGTTGAATTACAATGTGCGGGAGTATGTCTAACACACAAGAAACAAGTAGGTACCTAGGAGTGACATTACAACAGAATAGAAAATGGGGATAGCACGTGCAGGAGGTGGTCCGGAAGGCTGCGAATAGTGCGGCTGCGTTAAGGAGGGTGATGTCCAACATTGGGGAATCCAAATCCGAAAGGACAAGGGTCTTACAAGGTGTTGTGCAGTCGATCGTCCTCTACGTGGCAGGAGTCAGGAGCAAGGCGGTAGAGATAACGGCCTTAAGGAGTGAACAGAACACGTCTGTTGCGAGTGGCATGCGCCTACAGGACTGTGTTTGCGGCAGCCTTGTGGACCATCACTGTATGTGTTCCGTTGCATGTTTTGGTGGCGAAGAGAAAAGAGCTCTATGAGAGAAGAGGCCCAAACCTTACTATGGCCAGGAGAAGACAGGAAAGGGAAAGGTCAATTGAAAGATGGCAAGAAGAATGGAACAACACGGAAGATGTGGCACAGTGGACGAAAATGATGATCGCGAACATATAGGCTAACACAGATGAATGCCTATACTGTGGACACCCGGACACTGTGACACATACGATATTAGATTGCAACAGATGGATAGTAGAAAGGGACAGAATGGAAAGAGAGACAGCTGTGAATTTTGTTACAGTGAAAGAAACGATTAAGAGAATAATTGAAAATAAATCAGATTGGACTATATCCGTGCAGTAATCAAAAAAACAGAACAGGAAGCAAGACAGCTAGACTAACGGCAAAGGTAGTTTAAAACTAAAAGAAGCTAATAGTTGAAGCTAGAAAAGTAAGTCAGACTGTATGTGGCTGTGGGGAAGAAGGAAATGCCCGTCTGGTAATGATGCTATACTAGGAGCGATGAGGTTCTTCTACGTGCTACCCGAAACGAGACAGGGAGCCTCCTTGCTGATGAATGGAGTGTGAAGTATGGAGAATGAATAATTAAAGGTAGTGCTACGGAAGTGATGCCGGCCTTACAGCGACCATTCCGCTTCCAGATCGCTGGATGACAAAGGAGGGTCTGTTTTAGACTCGGCGACGTATGAAGAACGAATCCTGCACTAAGGTTAGTCAGGCGGCGTCTTGGACCGAGATTTATTTTGAAAATTCTAGACCCCCCCCTCTATAAAGGCGAAAAAAAAGAAAGGTATTAACTCACGTGCGTTTGTTTATGCATTCATGTTTTACTAATATAATTTGTACACAATATGAAATAACATTTCGATTACATTGCTAATTTCACTAGTAAAGCTTCTCGTTAAGCGTGTTCTAGTTACAGCAATATTCTCAATGTCATAAACAAACAATCGCATTGAACAGTAAGCAATGATTAATATTATTAAAAGGCTTTAAAACTGAATTAGGGTTACTTAGATCTGATTTCTGGATGCTTAATTAAATCTTATTACAAAGCCTCCGTAATATTACTCGAATGTTATATTAGAATGTCAGTATTAAGTTCTGTATTAAAATTATCATCAGAAAGAGGAAATTTATGTAACCGATGAATGTAACTGTTGAAAGCAGCCATTTTATGTTGAGTTGGGTGATTAGATTTTCCATGTATAACGTGATCTGTTTGGGTGGGTTTATACATGGAACGTCTAATCACCCAACTCAAAATAAAATGGCTGCTTTCAACAGTTACATTCATCGGTTACTTAAATTTCCTCTTTCTGATGATAATTTTAATACAGAACTTAATACTCTTAAACAGATTGCTTTTAATAATGGCTATGATCCTAACATTATATACAAACTTCTAAATAGAGCTAAACTAAAAATTGCAGAAAAGCTTGAATATTCATCACAGTTTTTTCAACCTAATACTTCAGATAACATCAGATATTTCTCCTTCACTTATATTAGTAGCATTTCCAATAAAATATCTAAACTTTTTTCGTCTACAATTGATAACATCAAAATTTCCTTTAAATCACATAACACTTTAGGTTCCTATATATATATATCCGGTTTTTTAGGCGTTACGCCCGTCCTGTAGGGATCTATGAAAGAGTATCACCGAGCCGCAAGCCCTTATCTTTTGCAGTACTGCTCCACTATAGGCCGATCAGATCCCAGCATATTCTAGTCTAAGCCGCAGATTCATCTAGAATTTTAAACTGCTGCGTTAGACTTTTTGTTTTCTGTACACCGAGCTGGGGCTCGATCCCACATCCACTGAACCATTCGACAGTGAAGCGAATGAGAGGCAGCCGTACATCCCGCTGAGCTATCTGACCGACACAAGGTTCCTTTTTAATCAATACCAAAGATAGGATGAATACACTTGATAAAAGTGGTATTTACAAATTAAAATGTGATGATTGTGATGCCTCTTATATAGGTAGAACCATCAGAAAGTTATCCACTAGAGTCTCTGAACATTTGAAAAGACCAAATTCTTCAAGTTTTGGTCAACACTTAGTATCCAGCAACCATAATTGTAACATCAATTCTGGTTCATCTATCTTACATGACATTAGTAGAAAGAAAAACTATCTTGAGTTGGATTTATTGGAAGATTTGGAGATTACAAGGGAAACAAATGAAAACTCTCACTGTCTTAATACTCAAATTAATTTAAATTGTACTAAATTTAATCCTATATTTAAAAACTTTATTACACCTTCACCTCGTAGAAGACCCAGTTCGACTGTTTAGACTTCATGCACTGAGCATTTCAATATTAATTATGAAGTTCTTCCATTGACTGTGGATTTAACTGAACTACTTGGATTATAACACATTTATATATTTTGCTTTCAATGTTGATTTTAACTTTTAGTAATTTAACTGCATATTCAGATTTTTCTTTTTTACAGTACTGATAGCGCTTGGTGGACCATTTTATTGTAGTCAACCATCCACTGTCTAATATATTGTTTAGTCTTTTCTTACATTCATACTTTATGTCAACTTCAATCGCTTTCAAACTAACATCCTAATTATTATAGACAGGTTTGAGTGTGAGATTTGGATTATTCAATCTACATAAAAATATACTAATTTTATATTTCATCAGTTGATTTCCTATAGTGGTGTCAGTTGGACCTTTGGTCAATACTTAGTTTCATAGAATTTTGAAAGGTGCAGATCACATAACTGCCCTTTACAAGCTGTCATTTGTCACATGTCATCTCAATATTTCCGCAAGACCGGGAGCCCATTCTGTCTCCGGCTTCTATATAACATGTAGCTTCTCCTTTTAAAAAATTTTAAAGTGTTTGTTTGTCTTTGTGTATTGTATTGTTATGTCCAAATTTACATTTATGACATTCTACTCATGTCGGATAGGCCACAACTGACGAAGTAAGTCTATAAACGTTTATCACATAAAAACTTTTTTCAACCTTAAACTTGGAGTTTTTTATCCAAGTGAAAAAATTTTCCTTCATATAAAAAAACGTTTCTTGGCTTATTTCAGATGCCCCTGAAGATGATCTATTGATCGAAAGTACTTGGGCAGGATTTAATTGATCACTGTGTTCGATAGTTACCTTGTATACTATCAAAGTTTAATTATTCGAACATTCAACCTTATATTGACAAATAAATAATATCTAATAAAATTTTCTAAGGAGTTGTTTATTTACGAGATATAGTGCAAAAAGCCTTTGCCTTTATTGCTTCAAGATGGCGGCCGTGGTTCACGGAGCGCAAACCCACAAATTTAAACTTAACCTTATAATAACCAGCCACGTATATCAAAAAATAAAATTGCGTTTACTCAAAAATGTCCTCTTCATTTATTAAAAATTCACCAAAGATTTTAAAGCAGTCCTCATATATTACAATATTTTAGTAATTGGAAATAGCAGCTGTTACGGTTATATTCTCCTATAATTCTGTTACTTCTATTTAAACATCGAATTATAAAATATAATTAAAGATCATTAAAATCTTAACGACGTAGTTGACTTGAGTTGTTGAAGAACACGTCTGTTATTGTTTTAATTTCACAACAAAAAAATTTAAGTACACGCTTTTTGTATAATTATTTTAATGGTATTTTTTTATTCCAGTTAACAAAAAATGACGGAGCCAACAATTTTAATTAAGGAAGTTAAAAATACAGTTCTGATAACTTTAAACAGGCCGCTATCATTAAACGCTGTTAACTATGAAATGAGCGAAAATTTACTAAATATTCTAAAAAATATTGAAAGACAGAAAGAAAAACAATTGGTGATTTTAAAAGGTATGGGTAAATCTTTTTGCGCAGGCGCTGATATAGTAGAAGCACGCATAAAAACTGCTGATGGCAAGGAATCTGAAGAGTTCTTTAAGTGGTGTCTAGATTTAAATGAATTATTCTTTGTTATTAATACTTATCAAATACCTTTAATAACTTTAGTAAATGGAATAGCATTTGGCACTGGCGGGGGTATAATGACCTTATCAAAATATTCGGTCGTTACAGAAAAAGCTATTTTTTCAATGCCAGAAACTAAGTTTGGGTTTCATCCAAACTGTGGGGCTTCCTATTTTTTTAATAAATCTAAAGGAAAGTTGGGCTATTATTTGGGATTAACGGGAGAAAGGCTTAAAAGTACAGATATAGTAAAAGGTGGATTTGCCACATATTTTTGTAATAGTAATAAATTACAGAAATTGGAAGATAAACTTATTAACTGTGTTACGGTGCAAGATATCACCAATGTCCTTGATCAATTTTCTGAAAAGAAATTGCCACCTTTCAGTTTAGGTAAGATTTAATTTTTTCTTTCTTTCAATAAAAGTATATACATATATATATATATATATATATATATATATATATATATATATATATATACATATATATATATATATATATATATATATATATATATATATATATATATATATATACATATATATATAATTCTTTGGAGGGTAACTTTCGGGAAAGCGTCAAAACAAGGATCAGCTAGAGATGGTATAAGCCAGTTTGGTGTAGAACTTTATTCTAAATGTGAAATTTTCGGTGATATGTTGTCACCTTCATCAGCACCTAAATGGAAAACCTATTATAGTACAAGTGGTGGAAATCAACATTTAAAAACCTACATTGAAAATGTTCAGTTGGTCCTAGTGGTGAAGAACATTGTCACAAACATGTTAAAAATATTAAAAAAATACATTTAAGACTTTGAATAAAAACATTACAACAACAGGGTATTTTTTCAAATACAAACACAACAAAAAAGTCTAAAATTTACAACCTACAAAAACTGTAACTTCATGTTAAAGGTAGAAAAGAAGAATTAATCTTCTTTTTTGATGACATTTCTGTCAATATCCGGGTGTCATATGTAACGAGGTTATAATTTTCACTTTTGCACTTCACACCACATGGATATGAAAAGAAAGAGCCCTAGGAAACATACTCAGCAAGGAAATGAAGTCTTTTCTCAAGTACAGATAGGTAACCTATGCATGTTATGATAAGTTCCCTACATTCTCCAGTTTGTTACTTCTTGTCAAGTCCTGTTGAAGTAGAAAGGAATAAATACAACTTAAGTTTTCAACATCTTTCTTACAGTTCATAGGAGAGCTGCAGTTATGGATGTAGCACATTTCTATGAAGTTTCTCTTAAATTGGTTGTCAACCCTCTTTAGTACTTGCACATTTTCATAGTTAGCAGTGTGTCCAGTATTCTTAATATGTTCGCTAAAGGCTGTGCTGGTGGGCTTCCTCACTACATCACTCTTGTGCAAAGCTATTCTTTTTAAGAGTTTCTGGCTGGTTTGACCGACATACACTTCTGAACAAGAACCACATGGAATAGAATACACTACATTGAAGTTACATTGAATACACTACATTGAACAAAAACGAAAAAATTTCTGAAAGACAACCCTGATATTATAGTAACAAGAGCAGACAAAGGTAACACTACAGTCATAATGGACAGAAACGAGTACATCACCAAATCATTTGAACTTCTCAATAACCCACAATCCTATAAAAAAATCCCCAAAGATCTGACTCCATCAGTAGAAAGAAACACTAACTTACTAATAAAACAACTATATGAAGAAGGATATATTACCACCAAAACAAAAAAAGAATTAACCAACTACACCGGTACCACCCCAACATACTATGGACTTCCAAAAATTCACAAAGAAGGGTGCCCTCTACGTCCTATAATTGCTTGCAAGAATGCCCCCACTCAATTCTTGGCTAAATATCTGGCAGGTATTATTGACACTTCTTTTTCTTCTCATAATACCTACAAAACTAAAAATTCTTTTGAATTTGCAAATAAGATCAATGGGTTTTTACTACCTTCAGGATATGTCTTGGTGAGTTTTGATGTTACTTCCTTGTTTACCAACATCCCTCTTGAACTGGTAGTTTCTATTCTGACAACTAATTACCATCTTATTGAACAGAACTGTACAATTACCAAAGTTTTGTTCCTGAAACTGATTACCTTTTTATACAACAATACATATTTCACTTTTCAAAATGAATTCTATGTCCAAATAAAAGGAGCACCCATGGGTGGAGCTATATCCCCAACTTTAGCAGAAATTGTAATGAACTCCCTACTTCACCACTGTACTCAAGAAGTTGATTTCCAGTTCCCCTTCATTTACCAATATCTAGACGACCTCATATGTGCAGTCCCTGCAGACAAAATCAACTACACTCTTGACATTTTCAACTCATATAACACTCACCTACAATTCACTGTTGAAACAGAAGAAAATAATAGTGTTCCATTCTTAGACACCTATGTAACCAGACATGAGGACAATACAGTAAGGTTGGATTGGTACAGAAAAAAAAACATTCACAGGTAGATATGTGCCTTTTCACTCATATCATCCAGACGAGCAGAAGATTAACATCATCAAAGGTCTGAAAAACAGAATATAAAGAATTTGTCACCCTTCTAACTACAATAAGAACATCAAGTTATTGTATGAGATTCTTAGAAAAAATCACTACCCTAAGATGCTTCTTAATAAACTGCTATTTCAAGATATGCCAACAGTTAGAACACACCAAAGACAAACATTAGAAAGAGAAACAGTAGAAGTTTTCTATGGGAGATTGCCTTACATCAAAGGTTTATCACCACAGATCACAAACCTTTTCAGAGAGGTCAACATAGTGATAGCAAATTCTGTGTACAAAAGATTAGGTACATACTTTACTCACCTGACAGAAAGAGTTAAAAAACTGGATAACTTCAATGTAGTGTATTCTATTCCATGTGGTTCTTGTTCAGAAGTGTATGTCGGTCAAACCAGCCAGAAACTCTCAAAAAGAATAGCTTTGCACAAGAGTGATGTAGTGAGGAAGACCACCAGCACAGCCTTTAGCCAACATATTAAGAATACTGGACACACTGCTAACTATGAAAATGTGCAAGTACTAAAGAGGGTTGGCAACCAATTTAAGAGAAACTTCATAGAAATATGCTACATCCATAACTGCAGCTCTCCTATGAACTGTAAGAAAGATGTTGAAAACTTAAGTTGTATTTATTCCTTTCTACTTCAACAGGACTTGACAAGAAGTAACAAACTGGAGAATGTAAAAAGACTTCATTTCCTTGCTGACTATGTTTCCTAGGGCTCTTTCTTTTCATATCCATGTGGTGTGAAGTGCAAAAGTGAAAATTATAACCTCGTTACATATGACACCCGGATATTGACAGAAATGTCATCAAAAAAGAAGATTATTTCTTCATTTATACCTTTAACATGAAATTACTGTATTTGTAGTTTGTAAATTTTAGACTTTTTTGTTGTGTTTGTATTTGAAAAAATACCCTGTTGTGTTGTAATGTTTTTATTCAAAGTTTTAAATGTATCTTTTAATATTTTTAACATGTTTGTGACAATGTTCTTCACCACTAGGACCAACTGAACATTTTCAATGTAAGTTTTTAAATGTTGATTTCCACCACTTGTACTATAATAGGTTTTTCATTTAGGTGCTGATGAAGGTGACAACATATCACCGAAAATTTCACATTTAGAATAAAGTTCTACACCAAACTGGCTTATACCATCTCTAGCTGATTCTTGTTTTGACGCTTTCCCGAAAGTTACCCTCCAAAGAATTGTATTCTTAGCGTCGTTATACACACTATATATATATATATATATCTATATATATATATATATATATATATATATATATATATAGATATATATATATATATATATATATATATATATATATATATATATATGAAACCTAGAGCTAAGATTATTAATATTACTTAAATTAATATCAAACTCACCAGTCTTCCGGGTTGAACCGCGTCGTTATCCATTTTGCCGAGGTTTCGGCATCCTCTCTGATGCCTTCCTCAGGGCTTCCGAGGTCTCCCGATCCCCCAGACACTACTACATTGTTCACTGATCACTACGCAGTGAACTACTGTACTACAGTAGTGACAGCGCACGTTAATTCCACGTTATATTTGAAACTTCTTGTTATCTTCATGAAGGCGGATATAAGATGTACCAGTTGCGTAATTACTTTTAATCAAGGTGATAATATATCGGTAGTTAATGCGGCAGTCAGCCAATGCTCGACGCATTTTATGATGATTTATACTATCGAACGCCTGTTCGTAATCTACGAATATAAGAAAAAGATAGGCTTGTTATACTCTGTACACTTTTTTATTAGCATTTTAATAACTGGTAGATGATTATTTGTTCCGTATTTGGAGCGGAACCCAGCCTGTTCACAAGATTGGTAACTATCCTGTTTGGTCACAAGCCGTTTTGTCATTATCTTCATGAACAGTTTGTATGCATGGGAGAGCAAACTAATGGGTCTGTAGTTCTTTAGGTCTGAAATGTCACCTTTTTGTGCATTATGGTTATTATTGCATTGTTCCACTGGGAGGGGGTTACGCCTATTGTCAAACAAGCACTGAACATAGTTTTCAACACATTTACTGACGTTCCTCTTTCTTTTTTGATTTGTTCAATGACTATTATATCTTCTCCAAGTGATTTATTATTTTTCGTCTCCGTGAGAGCTGATTTTATTTCCTCTGTAGTGATATCTGGGATGTCTTCTGAGCCTACATTTTGAACTTTTGGTGTTTGATTTTGATGAGGATCTGAAAGTTCTTCTCGCTTATACAATTCTGAGTAACAATGTTAAGCAATTTTTAAAATATCTTTCCTATTTGTTGTAGTTTCTTCTTTTTTATTTACAAGTTTACAAATATTTTTCGATCCTTTAGTCATTTATCGGCGCAGAACCTTTAAACTTTAATTGTTCTTAACTCTTTATAAATGGCGTTTGCTGTAAAATTAATATTTTTATCACCGCTAGTAATTGAAAATACAGTCATTATATTATTTTTTTTTTATAATTTATAATCATGTACTTAATTCCACTTTAAAACTTATATAATTTGTTGTAATTAAATTAATATAGATCTCTCAATTAACTTCATCGTATCGTAAAATAAAGTTCCCTGTAAATAATTACTATCTCTAATGTTTCATAGATAAAGAAACTTGGTTTACGATTTAATGGAGAAACTTTTTATTAATATATAAGTAAATTCTTTTTCCCTAGATCCTTTGGCAGCAAAAATTAACGAGTGCTTTTCCGAAAGTACTATTGAAGGTATATTTTACACACTCAAACAAGATAGGTCTGCGTGGGCGACGACTACATTACAAACTTTAGAAAAATATTCTCCGAGTAGTTTAAAAGTGTCATTAAAGCAGCTACAATATGGAAAGAATATGGACTTATTGGAGAGTTTGGCGATGGAAAGTAATATAACTAACAACCTTTATAAGTTTACAGATGTATTAGAAGGTAAGAACATTCAGGATATTATTGGGATTTATTGAAAAAATTAATGAGTTAATTGCTATGTTTAGCTTTAACCGTGCGTTAGTGTGCATAGATAAATTAGCACGAGAAATGTTCCGGCATAAAATTGTACTTTATCTTCGAGAGCGTTTTTTTAGCGTCGAGACGCTAATTATTCTCGAGAAGATAATGCGGTTTTATCGTCGTGTGCAATACAACATTTTTTTCTATAGCAAGAATTCAATTTCAGGTGAAAAATTATTTATTCTATTATTAAATTTCTATTATTATTAAATTATTTAAAATGGTTAATTTTGGTTTTTTACTTATTTTTGGTGCAAATAAATTAAATACGATACTGTAAAAGTATTATATCTAAATGTTAAACATGATGTATCCAACATATTGCAATTATGTTAGTCAAATAATACGAGTGACCAATAATCTATCTATCTATCTATACAGCCCTTGCTGTCCAATTTTGGATATATGCCTCTTCCTTCTTCCGAGTCTATCTATTGAAGGCAGTTTGTATCGAGTTCGGGCCTGCGTGTTTCTTCAAGTCATCTGACCATCTCATTTGTGGCCTTTCTCTTTTTCGTTTGTAACGATATGGTCTCCAGTGTATAATCATCTTATGCCATCTGTCGTCTTTCTATTTTATGGTATGTCCAGCGAACTTTCATTTAAGTTTTGCTATCTGCGTTGATACATCGGCCACTTTTTTTTGTTGCTGAACCAAGTATTTCTTTTCGTATCTCCTAGCCTGATGTTCAGCATTTGCCTTGCTATAGCTCTTTGGGTCTTTGCTATTTTTTGAATGTTTTCATTTGTGAACGTCCAAGTTTGAGAACCGTAGGTGAGAACAGGAGGTATATATTGGTTGAAAACTCTTGTTTTTAAATATTGGGGGGATTTTCTATTTTTTAGTATATAGGAACATTTTCCGAAGGATACCCAAGCCAACCGTATCCTTCTCTTTATTTCTCCGGTCTGATTTTCTTTATTTAAGTAGTTGTCCCAAATATACATATTCTTTTACTTGTTCTATAGTTGTTTGTACAATTTTAATTATTAATTCTTTTGGTTGGTTGGTCATAATTTTCGTTTTATTATAATTCATTTGTAGACCTATTTTTATTGATTCGCTATTTAATTCATCCATCATATTTTGAAATTCGTCCCTTTTATCTGTTATTAATACAATATCGTCTGCATATCTCAAGTTATGCAAGTATTAGCCATTTATGTAAATACCCCGTTTTTCCCATTGTGATTTTCTCATTACATCTTCCAAAGCTTGATTGAAAATTTAGGTGATATAGTGTCACCCTGTCTGACTCCTCGCCGTGTCTTAGTATCCTCCGTTTGTTCAATAATTTTAATAAATGTTGTTGCTTGATTATATATATTGAGAATTAAGTCCGTATATCTACAGTCTATTCTCCCATTTTGTAAAGAGTTCTTTACTGCCCAATGTTCCAACTTATCAAATGCTTTTTCAAAGTCTACAAATGCCATATACATTGAAATTTGATATTCGTTGGTCTTTTCAATTATCATTTTTTTGTAAGCAGATGGTCGCTTGTACTGAATCCTTTTTTAAATCAGGCTTGCTCTCTTGAATGGTAATTATCTAACTTAGTTGTTAATCTGTTTGTTGGTAGTTTAGTTAACAGTCTGTATATTACATTAAGTAGCTTTATGGGCCTGTAGTTTTTCAGATCTTTTCTATCTCCTTTCTTAAATAGTAATAGTGTTATTGCCTCGTTCCATGTGGTCAGTATTTGTTTTGTGTTCAATATTTTATTCATTAGTATATAAATGATTTCCAATGTAGTTTTCCTCCCATTTTTTAGCATTTCCACAGTTATTTCATCTTTCCCCTGGATTTGTTATTCTTTATTTCTTTGAGTGCTTTTTTTATTTCCTTTTTACTGATTTCTGGTTGTAAGTCAGAGTTAACGTTTTTATTTTCAGTTGTAACTGATTACTGATTTCTTGGGTTGGTTTTTGTTCTGTTTTATAGAGATTTGTATAATATTCGTGCATTGTCTGTAAAATTTCTTTTATATTGTTGGTCGCCACTCCTTCATTGTTCTTTATGCTATTAATTTGTATGTTTCCCAGGTTCTGCTTTAAGCACTTCATGTTTCTATTGTTTTCAATTGTTTTCTCTATCTTTTCTTCCTATACTCTCCGTTTACACTCCTTGATCTTGTTTCTAATATTTTTGTTTATTTCTTTGTATTTTCTTTCATTTCTGTCCCCTTGTTTTAGCAATGTTCTTCTTGTGTTTATAAGAATCTTTGTTTCCTGAGATATGAATCTTTATTTTTTTTGTTGCTGTCTGTGCTATTTCTTTACCCACTTTCATTAGAGATTCAGTAAATATCATGTTTATTTTGTCGATATGTTTACTTTCTATATCTTCCTTGTTTGGCAATATTCTCTTTATTCTCTCTTCGTACGTCTGTTTTTCCTGTTTTAGTTTTTCCATGTCTTGATTATTTTCCATTTTCTTTCTTATTTCAAATCTACTATCAATGATCAGAGTGACCAATAATGCACTCAGATACTGTGAAACATTTTATTGATTACTCTTAATAAACTAATAGCCTAATATTCTACAAATTGAAAAAAAAATGTTTTTGGAAAAATAAAAAAGTTAACAAAATTGTTACAATTTGAACACGTCATTATGCGTTTTCCAAAAAAATTGGAGTATCACATCGCATGCATATGTAAAAACTCTTTATATCTTTATTTCTTGGACAAATAGAACAACTACTGCTCGTCCTACGTCGCTTATGATCCAATTGATGTACCTCTGGTTGCTGATTAGCACGTAGTGGTTGACGCAAGGAAGGGTTTTGTCTTCGTTAGTTTCGAAACTCAGATATCAGCTGCATACCCAGTTTCTTAAACAAAAATCGTCTTTTTAAAGTTTTTTGTATCTGATTTATATATAACTTGAGCATTTACTTCAGCTGTATTCAAAAATGAAAAAAAATAGTGTCAAAGTCCAACGATAGCTATTTCTTATTACGCTGTAATTACCAGATAACTCATCGAATGTGTCAATACCGCCTTTAGTTGAATTGTAAAAGTTAAATTTCAGATAATTTGTTTTTACCAGTTTCTTAGATTATAGTATTATCACGTAATGTAAAAATGAAAATAATATTTTTTGACTTTTTTGCCTCATATGAGACAGACGTTATATCTTTATTGAAGGCAAATTTTGAACTGCTAATTTCTCTTGCTCATGTGTTCAGAAGTGCTGTTGTAAATTGCCTTTTATTCTTCCTAACTGTCCCAACAGATGTAAGATGATGAGTCTAAAGTAGATTGATGATGAGCAGATAGCTAGTAAACCAGTTATCGAAAATAATATTACGTTTTGTACCAGAAACTGGTCCAATAAAACGTCCAATTATGTTTTGCGGCTTGTTGCTTTGTCGAAAAGGTCCTTCTGGCTGTGTTTCGATGTAAATTTCCATGTTTAGATAGTAGTAAGTTTTGGAATTCACTAGCGCAAATACTTTTAACCTATACTTCGCAGGCTTATTCGGTATGTATTGAAGAAATGAGACCCGTCCCATGAATGACCCCAGATTTTCGTCCTGGATGGTACATAGTGTGTCTTACAGTTGCCAAAGAATTGATTAAATAATTTATTGCTGCCAATTTGTAGATCTGCTTCCGTTCTACTCTATTTTGCATATTGTCGAATCGCAAACATTGCAACAAAATGGAATATCTTGGTTGTGACATTGTTGTTCGAATAAGATCTTTACTGCTGCCATCAGTATTCCAAAGATCTGAAACATTTTGTCGGTTTAATTTGTAGAGTAAGTCCCCTCAACTAGAGCAGGCCTGTAATGGCTTTAATTTTTTTGGTCAGTCTCTTTGTTAAAAACAGTTAACAACTTTGTTTTGGGGTCTTACCCCAACTCAGGGGTGAAAAAAATTAATAAAAAATCTATAGAAAAGTATATTATATGCTACTGTTGTTGCTACTCTTTAAGTATATTAAAGTGGCTATTACATATTCCATATCACGTGGTATAGTATAGTAATATATTATAGAAAGATTTAAATAAAAAATAAAAATCCATTTTTTCGATCTGAGTGTTTCAACTAAAGGTCAATGATTTCTGTTTAATATTGTTTTGGTGTTCCAGTATTGAAATGCAAAATTATTAGCCTTCTGTGTTGTTATTTTAGGCACAAAAGCACTTTTGATAGACAGAACACGAGCGCCACAATGGAATCCCAGTAGATTGTCAGATGTTGATGAAGAGTTAATCAATGCACATTTTAATTCAGTTTCTGATCAATTTTTACGAGAGAGGCTAACCAAACGACGTGACAACATAAAATCTATTTTAAAATATAAATTATAAATAAATGAGCAGTTGTTTATTTTGTATTTTATTTTAACTACCATGTGTTTTAAAATTTGTGATCTCTAGAATTCAATAAACAAACTACGATTAAAATAAAGTAAGGAAGATACATGATTTAATAAAACTACCTTAAAACTCAGTTCTATAAGTCTCTTAATCAAATTTGATGATACAAAAGGTTTTAACCGACCCACTTCATCGGCGTTTTTAAATAGAATTTGAGAGCATAATAAAAATAAATAAAAAGAAAAATCATCAAAAGCTGAACAAAAATCAATCAAAAACTAACAAAGTTGTAGATACATGATCGGTAATATATTAGCTTAAAATCCATTCGTTTTGCTCTATCGACTTTATTTTGGAAGCACTCACCTTTAATACCGGCCATGGTCGAAATACCTAAAACCAAACCATACGAGAAATTTACGAGAGAAATTATGTCTGTCGCAAACAAAATATATTAAACAAAACAGAGAAGTTAAACAAAAGAATAAAAACTGATTACAAAATCAAAACTGGTACGACGAAAAAAAAAACGCAATGAGGTATATATAAAAATAAATAAACTTATTAAAAAGAAAATAATTAATGGCAAAAATGATAAAAAACTCGAAGTTGATGATTGATACAAGTTTTTTATTTAATTTAACGTTTGAGACATACTTCGTCAAATTTGGCCAATCCAACAGTCTATTGAGAATGTCATAAACATAATAATTATACATTAACACACCACATGAGGATAAACAGTATAAAATTTTAAAAACGGCTAAGCCACATATTGGTTGGCATCAAGAGAGAAATGGCTCCTGGTCTTAACGGAAATGCTAAGGTGACATGTGACATATATGACAACTTGGATGAGCACTCACAATCATGGTAATGTGATCTGCACATTTCAAAATTCTATGAAACTGAGCATTAACCAAAGGTCCAACTGACACTACTATAGGAAATCAACTGAAATTTGAAATGATATAAATTACTTTAAGTAGGTTGCATAATCCAGATCTCAAACTCAAAGCTGTCTGTAATAATTTAATCAAAAAATATATAAACAACGAACATGTTTAGTGATGAGATCTTCATTATCACCTTTTCTAGCTAATATTTTCTTAGACAGCTTAGAACAGAAATTTGTTAAAAACAACAACAAAATATGTTTTTTGGTTAAGATATGTTGATAATTGTATAGCTCCCATACAGGGAAACCCATTATGATGCTTTACAGATTCTGGATGATGTTAATAACCTCCATCCTAACATTTCTTTTACACTGGAACCAGAATCTGACAATAAGTTGAACTTCTTGGATATGACTGCATCTCGTAATAAACATTCTCTAGAGTACAATATTTACAGAAAACCTACTCTAATAGGTCTTGTTATATATGAATACATAAACAAATGGCTGCTTTTAACAGTTACATTCATAGGTTACTCAAATTTCCACTTTTAAATGATAATTTCAATTTAGAACTTAATTCTCTCAAGGAAATTGCTTTCAATAATGGTTATGATCCCAACATTATCCATAAGCTTTAAAATAGAGCTAAACTTAAAATTTCAGAGAAGCTTGCTTATTCATCATAATGTTTGCTTCAACCCAATGCTTCAAATAACATTAGATATTTCTTCTTTACTTATATTAGCAACATTTCCAATAAAATATCAAAACTTCATCAAAATTTCGTTCAAATCGTTAATAACACTTTAGGTTTTTTTAATTAACACCAAAGATAGGATGTACACACTTTGCAAAAGTGGTATTTATAAATTAAAATATGATGATTGTGATGCCTCTTATGTAGGGAGAATCATTCAAAAGTTCTACTAAATTTCTTAACTAAATTAAAAATCATCTACAAGAATTTTAGAATATTTCAAAACACCAAACTCTTCAAGTTTTGGTCAACACTTATTATCAAATAAACACAATTTTAACATCAATACTGGTTCATCTATTTTACATGACACTAGTAGAAAGGAAAACTATTTGGAGGTTGGAACTACTACCTGGAAGATTTGGAAATTACAAGGGAAACAAATAAAAAGTCTTACTGTCTTCATACTCAAATTAATTTAAATTGTACTAATTTTAAATCTATTTTTAAAAACTTTATTGCAGCTTCACCTAGTGGGGGACCCAGCTCGGCTGTTTAGACTTCCTGCACTGAGTATACCCATTAAAAATTTATTAATTTCATATTTATATTAACATTACTATTTTATTCTTGAATAATTTATAAAACTAGCTTGCTTAGGTTCAATTGATCTATAGTTGGCGTTGTTTACACTCTCGATATCTCTGCGTAATTTAGTTACACCATCTCCTTCTTCTTTAAGTTCCATCTCCTATCAAAGGTTGGAAATCATCATGGCTATGCGGACTCTGTTGACTGCCGCTATAAAAAGTTCTGCACTACTGCATTCAAACCATTCCCTTAAGTTCTTAAGCCAGGATATTCTTCGTCTTCCCACATTTCGCTTTCCTCGGATTTTGCCCTGCATAATAAGTTGTTATAATGCGTATTTTTGCCCTCTCATCACATGTCCCAAGTACTCAAGTTTTCGTCTTTTAATAGTTAATATTATTTCCGCCTCATTTCCTATCCTTCTAGTTACTTCCATGTTTGACATTCTTTGAATCCATGATATTCGTAGGATTCTTCTGTAACACCAAAATTCAAAGGCGGCCAGCTTATTTAGATGAACTTGTTTTAGTGTCCAAGCTTCCAGACCATAAAGAAGAGTAGAAAGCACGTAACATCGAAGCATTCTCAGGCGTAGTTCTAACCTTATATCCCGACAACAAAGAAACTTTTTAAGTTTAATAAATGATGTACGTGCTATTTCAATACGTGTCTTAATTTCTTTGGTTTGGTCTACATCTGATGTTATCCATGTTCCTAAATATTTATAGTTATTAACATTCTCAATTGCAGTATCTTCAATAGTAACCATCTCCACAGTTGTATATTTACGCATCTCGCATTGTTGGTCAGTTGTTCTTGAGTAATGCTTTGACATTTTAATTTTATAGTTCTTCCATTCACTGTGGGTTTAACTTCTTTTTGTACAGTATTCGGTACAGTACGGTACAGTACAGTGGAGCATTCCATAAAGGTCAGTACCACTACCACTATTACCTTACAATTTTCCGTGCTTTTGGCTTTTGCATTAAAATAAACAAATCACTTTTATTCTATTCACATTATTTTATTCTAAGAGGTACGAATTTCTGCGGCTCAGTTGAATATCTATATTGTTTTTAATTAGGTAATATTTGATTAAAATTCTTTACGATTTTTATGAATGGACGTGGTAAAAAGCTAAAGACTATCTAATTTACGGTTAAATTTGTTAATGTCGATGCGCAAGTGTCGAATGTAGAATTAGCAATTATTTTAATTGCATCGAATCCTGGGATTAAAACCGCAACAGCGAGAGTCGAACACACGTACAGACAAGTATGTGTTTTGACCTCGATTCTAAATGGTTAGCAGCATTATTGGATTTGATTTTTAAAAAGTATTAAGCGTTGCGACGAGGGTTATTAGTCTAATTGGTTTCCTTGTAGGTATTAACTTTCTAGAAAGGATATTGCGAAAAAAAAGAGAATTAAGCAGAAGGGAACATTTATAGAATTACAAATTTTGGTTCGCCGTTTATGAGAACATACAACTAGTTATTTAAATTTTTATGGACCTAGAATCAATTTAAATTTAATTTAATCGTCTAGTTCCAAAAACGGCCATTTGCAAAAAATTTAAAAAAAAATTTAAATTATCTCTCTTCAAGTGAAATATTTGTAACTTTGAAGTTTGATATTTTTTTTTGCAAGAATATAGATAGGTGCATTTGTTCAACTGTAGGACATATATGCCTTACAGTGAGACACTTTAAATCCAACAGTGAGACAGGGAAAATAAATGAAAATATATGTAATCTTCTTCTTAATGTGCCCTATCAAGTCCCCTTGACGTTGGCGATTAACATGGTGAAACTGTCTCTGTCTCGAGCTATTCTAAATAGTTGCTCAGCTTTCTTTATTTCTGTCCACTCCCTGATATTCTTCAACCAAGAGGCCTGCTTTCTACCAATTCCTCTGCGTCCTTCGATTTTACCCATCATAATAAGTTGAAGAATATTATATCGGTCTCCCCTTACTACGTGTCCAAAATAGGCCATCTTTCTACATTTGATGTTATCAAGCAGCTCACGAGCAGCATTTGTCGGATACTGCGGACTATCTATGGGCCTTGTAGAGAAGAAACAACAGGAGAGTGGAGAAGAAGACACAATAATGAACTCCAGACAATATATGGAGATGAAAACATAGTCCGCTACATTAAAGCAAACCGAATAAGATGGGCGAGCCACGTCCTAAGGTCAAATAACGAATGACTTCTGAACACCACATTCTGGGAAAGGTCCAATGGTCCTCCCAGAAGGTCAGTTGGCCGCCTAAGAAAGAGATGGAAGGGCGCAGTGGCCAGTGATCTACGTAAAATGGGAGTGCAGCAGTGGGAAATAGCTGCTCAGGACTGACAACAATGGAGGTAAATAGTAAACGCGGCCAAGACTCACCTAGAGTTGTAGAGCCAAATGATGATGATTACAGAAGAATGACCTCATTTTTAAAAATGTCGTACGGGCTATCTCGATTCTATATTTTATCTCTTCATCTGGATCTAGTTGTTCAGTAATATAGCAACCAAGATATTTAAAACTGGACACTCTTTGAATTATATGACCATCAACATATAATCGTGCATCTTGATGTGCTAAACGGCTAAACACCATGTGTTTTGTTTTTGAACAGTTTATGTTTAGGCCAAACTCTCTTCCCACTTTATGAATGACATTTAAAAGGCATTGTAATCCATTCATGCCATCACTTAAAATAACTGTATCGTCTGCATATCTGATTATATTTATCAGAATTCCATTAACTTTCACGCCCCATTCCAAAATTATGCAGCGCTTCTTTAAATATTCTATCTGAATATAAAT